GATATAAAATAAATTGTCTTTCACATTGTGGTTGTTTGCGCTGTTGCTCGTTCTTTTGTTTTGATGTGGTAGTGTGTAAGAACTTGTAAAGCCACAGAATTTAAAATTACTTAAATATCTAAAGATTCATGTCAGAACACAATTTTGGGATTAATTTCTAGCTTATCCCATAAATTGTTCCTATTCTACTTAGCATCAGTACTAGTGTGTGTATATGTCTGTTAGATGTATTGTTGGGGTGTGTTAAAATAAACAGGGTTACTATCTGTATGCTGTGAGGCCTTAATTTGACTACAGGTGAAATGAGTTAAGAGAACTAGTTCTGACTTACAAGACTGAATGGAGTTATCTGATAAAATAACTTTCAACACAGTAATGTTCTCTAAATTATTCTATAACTCTGAGGAAAAAGGAGGGCATGCCAGCAATTTCTGTTGCTGCAGTGGAAATATGGGCTACACTGACATGCCCTACCAAAACCAAGCAGAACAGGCCCTGTGACTTCCTAGAACAAAGGGTGAACTGACTTCTCATTAAAGTATCTGGAAGCCCTCATGCTTGACCCTGGCCTTGTGGTAGAATCATGTGAGGAATTCAATTTAAAAACCAGGAATTCTTTTTTGAGACGGAGTCTTGCTCTGTCGCCCAGGCTGGAATGCAGTGGCATAATCTCGGCTCACTGCAAGTTCTGCCTCCCAGGTTCACGCCATTCTCCTACCTCAGCCTCCTGAATAGCTGGGACCACAGGTGCCTGCCACCATGCCTGGCTAATTTTTTTTTGTATTTTTAGCAGAGATGGGGTTTCACTGTGTTAGCCAGGGTAGTCTTGATCTCCTGACCTCGTGATCTGCCCGCCTCGGCCTCCCAAAGTGCTGATATTACAGGCATGAGCCACAGCGCCTGGCCAAAAACAAAAATTTTTCCACCTAGTAAAACAGACAGGATCTGTGGGGAGGGCACAGGTTATGGTTTCTCTTCAGACTGTCCACGTGATTCTACAGCAAGACTGGGCTGAGAGTCACTCGGCCAAGCACTGCCTCTAAGGTTCAATGTGCATATAAATTATTTGGTATTCAAAACCTCCCTGTAAGTAACAAAATTCTGCAGGTTTGAAAAGGGTCCATGAATTAGCTTCTTATTGCAAGTCTCCTGTTATTGCAAGTCTTCTTATTGCTGACGCTTCTGCTCCTAGACCCATTATACCACTCAGCTAGAAAAAGCAATCACAGCATGAGTCCCTCACTGCAACACCCTTATCATAACACAAATACTTTACATCCGAAGACAGGCCCACCAATCATCATCTTGAAATATGGCATTCTCTGCAGGCCCTTTAATGTTTACAGAGGCGGAAGATGGTGGCAAGTCTGAGTAAGTCTGCATTTGAAAAATGTGTATATGCATTAATGCAATCTTTATGGAGCATGTAGTATGTGCTCAGAAGTATGTCACAGAGCAGTGTGCTGGGAAGTTCACATTACGTGTGTTAATACTATAACAGCCTGAAAAGTAGTCATATACTTCCCAGGATTCAAATGCAGGGCCCCAGCATTTCTATTTCCTCTTCTGTTTACTTATTGGTTTTGTTTTTTTGTTTTTTAAATGCGTAAAATAATAGCTCAATATAGATAGATGGGACATATACAGAAAGAAAGAGTTAACTGCAATTCAGAGGAATTTTTTATTTTTGTGTTTGTAGTTACTTTGAAATTTGTGAAAAAACCACTGAAACTGTAGAGATGGGGAACAGGTTGCTGGATAGGATGTCTCTAGAAACACTAATTTTAATTTTATAAAAAACAATTTAAGGCACAAAAGTATATCGCTTTTCCCCATTTATCTGCTTTTGGGTTTCAGGAAATTGCGAGCACCAGCTCCGGAGAGGCAGTAGGGTTAGCCACCCCAAACTCTGATCTTCTCTAAGCAGTTCTGTGAGAGATTTCAGTGTGAGGTCAGACCTGGAAAAGGTTCAGCAGAGGGTGGATCTGGACAGAGATGGGACAGAAGGTGGGCCCTAGGCATCTGCTCTCTATGCCTGTATTTTCAGTTTTGTCTTTTCTAAGCCTGCCGAAGAGAAATTTGATTCCCAGAGTTTCTGTATCTTTTTTTTTTTTTTTTTTTTTTTGGAGACGGATTCTCGCTCTGTCATGTAGGCTGGAGTGCAGTGGCCGGATCTCAGCTCACTGCAAGCTCCGCCTCCCGGGTTTACGCCATTCTCCTGCCTCAGCCTCCCGAGTAGCTGTGATTACAGGCGCCCGCCACCTCGCCCAGCTAGTTTTTTTGTACTTTTTAGTAGAGACGGGGTTTCACCGTGTTCGCCAGGATGGTCTGTATCTCCCGACCTCCTGATCCGCCCGTCTCGGCCTCCCAAAGTGCTGGGATTACAGGCTTGAGCCACCGCACCTGGCCGAGTTTCTGTATCTTAATCTATTTTAGCTAATTCCCTATTTTATAACACACAATAGCAAGGAATTCAACCAAAACCCTTATGTTTTTCTAGACCAATTATATTAGAAGCTAATTATTTATTCTTAGCAAGGTAAAAACAATACAAATAGTAATAACAACAATTTCTCTTCTGCCAATGAACAGCTGATCAGGTGGTGGCATCAAAACTCACAAAACAATAAAAGGGAAGTAACCCAAATGAAGCTTAAGTCTCCTGTACAGTGTCCATCTTTGTACTGAACACACAATGCTGAATTCAACCATTCATTCATGTGCTCCAGACTGCAAGTTCCTTGATAGTAGGGACCATGACTGCTTTATGTCTTTTTCTAATGACCATATGAAATAGAAGCAATTAGGTTATTGATCAGTTTGGGTCTCCAGATCTCCTCATTTTTCACCAAAGAACCAGAAAACTGGAGCAATTCTTATCTGGGTAAAAACCAAGGAGATTCTTTCTGTGAGGGGAGGCACAAACCCTGGATGAGTCACTTAATCTTTCTCTGAAATGGGAGCAGAATTAGACCTTCTTGTCAGACTGACCCCAGTCTGCACAGGACATCCTCAAATGTCTCATTACTCAAAGATGCTGGTGAGAGTGTCCCCAGTGACCTTTGGTTGATGCCCCCGTAGTGATCCATGGAGGAGACACTCAGGCTGACTTTGTGGGGTGCAAATAGAAAATGGAGCTGTCCTGGTGGACCTGCATATCTTGGCTCCAGATGTGATATCCCCTGCCCCTGATCAGCTAACTCTGAGGTAAGGAAAAGGACAAAAGTACTCTACTCCCATAACACAGTATACAGGAGGAAGGCATACTTGTGATTATGGTTGTCATTAAGGCTCTGGATATTTTGTGGCCTTACCTCCCACTGCTAAGATGCTTGTTACACTTACAGATTCTGCCACATGATTTTGTTCCCATCAGAAGCCTCTCACACAGCTGTAGCAGGTCACTGAATAAGATCTGGAAAACTCAAAGGGCTCCACTCTAAAAATGGGGCTTAAGATGTCTATGTTGGCCTCTCATGATGCAGAAAATGTCTTCTGTGAGTTTTTCGTATGTCTTCAACCCAAAGTCTGGTCCAGTGTTGGGAATCCTAGGCAGAGGCCAACTTTTATATGCAGATTCTAGGTGGGATCAATGTGCCTCTGCATTCTTAGGGATTAGAGCAAGCACAGTAAAACCAGAGGAGAGATCCCCTCAGTGAGGTTCCTTCAACACATTCTAAAGAATATTTTGACCTAAAAGGAAATACTAGGGTAAACATAATATAAGTAGAGAGTTTTGGGGCCAAAGCTTGAATATTGCAATCCTGGAGTATAAAGCTGCCCTGAATATACACTCCAGTTACAAGTATATTTGTAAAGGAAAAAGGAAGGCACAGAGGGAACTGATAGAAAGTTGTCAGGAATTCTTATTGGCTTACAATAGTAACATTGGTTAGTGATTGGTTATATACATTTTTAAGCTATTGGGTGTGGGTTATGGTGTCCAGTGTGGCATTATTAGGTTAATTTATAGCCACTTGTGCCAACAGCAAGCAATTTCAAAAGATCAACAGTTCAAAGATGGGAACAGTATATCACTGTGGTCTCATTTTAACAAGACTCTGGGTCTGATCATTAAAAGAACATGTATTTCTCAAATAAAAGTTCTTTTCTTCTCTCAAATCCCAGAAAATAAATTCAAAATTTGGAACTGCACATTTAGGTCTTGGAGGGCTGGTGAGCTATGCACATTTGTGGGCATTGGGCCAAGGGGAGGAGGGAGAGAATTGAAGTTCTCAGGTTTAATCAATGCATATGTATGATCCTGGTTGGGTTTATGGGCCCCATGATCTCTGAATCTGTGTCAGATCTGAAGATGACAGGAGCACTGAAGGAGGTGAAATAACTGATTGCTGTTCTGAAGTTATTTTTGTAGAAATCTAGTCTAACTGCTCTAGAAGGGACTGTAGATCCCAAATAGAGAGACTATTTTGTTTGCAGATTTGGGGAGCACCTTGCTGCACTTTGTCGTACAATTGTGGGTTGTGGCTGGAATCCTGAGAATGAAGGTTTTTCTCTCAAGTGAAGCCTGATAGGCACTTTGTATGTAACATCTGGTACTTCTAAACAATGTATGGAAAATATGACTAAAAGAAAAATTTTCAGCCAGGCACGGTGGCTCACACCTATAATCCCAACACTTCGGGAGGCCGAGGTGGGTGGATCATGAATTCAGAAGATGGAGACCATCCTGACCAACATGGTGAAACCCCATCTCTACTAAAAATATAAAAAACTTAGCTGAGTGTGGTGGCGCGCCTGTAGTCCCAGCTACTCGGGAGGCTGAGGCAGGAGAATCACTTGAACCTGGGAGGTGGAGACCGCAGTGAGCTGAGATCGCACTACTGCACTCCAGCCTGGCAACAGAGCAAGACTCCATCTTAAAAAAAAAAAAAGAGAGAGAAAAGAAAAATTATCTCCAATCCCCAAAAAAATTTCCACCATAATAGAACAGCAAGAAAATGTTTTGTTATATAATTAAACCAAAATGTGATGTGCATCAAAGGCAATCTACTAAGAGATTACAAACACAGAAAAAAGTCACCATTATTAGTTTTCAAGTGGAAGACTTGAAAGCACCATTTACAGTTTATTATTTCACCTAGTAATTTGGGAGGTAATCTGGGTTTTCTAATTGGTAATATTCAAAGGAAAAATAAACTTCCCACATCTTCATGACAGGATGTAGATTCGCAATGTAGAGCCAGTTACCTGCTGAAGGCAGCCTCCCACCCTCCTACAGAAACTGTGGTATATATTCTTGCTATTCACATTTCAAAGCAATAGTTTCCAGGTCCTAGATAAAGACAAGTCTGAGTCAAAAAAAGACAAATGACTTATTTAACTGATAAAAATGATTTACATATATTTCAAAAATCAGTGAAAATAATTATAAAAATATTCCACCTAAATGCTTTAAGAAAAGGGAGAAGAACAAAAATTCTTCCCTCATTCAAAAGAGAAATCATTAAGCCTCTTCTTTCTAATTTCTATTTGTTCCTACAACAGCCAGGTGTAAAGGCATGGTCTTGAATTCCCTAACGTCTGAATTATTGTAGGCACGTAAGGGATGAACTTGGGCACACTGTGTGCACAGAAGAGGATTTTTGGGGAAGGAAAAAGCAGAAGACAGAAAGGAGCTATCAAGAGCCATAGGGTGGGGACAGGGCACAACTGATGAAAGGACTGGTTTATGCTACAGGTACAGGCTGAGGCAGGGCTATGCTCTGATTCCTGAGTCCATAAAGGCAGAGGAGATTAGGATCAGATGGTCCAGAAGCCTGGATTGGAGAAGGAAACAGATTCCTGCTACAGATCTGGGGTTGAGATGACCCAGGAGTCCTCTGGGCACTGCGTGTGTTTTTGACAGAAAACTATAGGAGCAAAGCTGCCATGGCCACAATTCCTGAGGGTAGAACCCTGTCCTAGGACGGGTGTGGCCGTGCGAATGCCCAGTGGGCGTGCTCAGGAGTGGGTTAGCATTGGGTGGGGGCTGGCAGCAGGGTGCAGGGAAGGGACGTTTCACAGAACTCCTCCTTTCCTCTTAAGTTCCCAGTTCCCTCTCCCCAGGAGGAGACCTGGAGGAACCCGACAGTGCCCAGCAGGACCGCGCAAGTGCAGAACCCACTCGCGCCTCCCGCAGACACCAGGCGACTCCCTCCAGCCCAGGCTCAGCCATGTCTTTCTTCTGACAGAAAACCTGAGGAGTTTCCTCAACACCCGTCAATGCTCCAACCTCAACGGGCTGTCCAGCAACTCACTAACGACCCCACCCAGAGTCAGCGCAGACCCACAAGCTCAGCGCTCTTCCCGCAACTGC